AGAGGGAATGTCGAAAATTTCCTGACATATGTCGAATTTCGTGATGTTTCAACATTGAGATGTGTATAAGAGACAGCACACACACAGAGACACAGAGACACAGAGAGAGAGAGAGAGAGAGAGAGAGAGAGAGAGAGAGAGAGAGAGAGAGAGAGCAACAATGACAGGGAGTCTCGTTGCGGCCTTTTTGGCACTTGCACCTTGCAAGGTCTCGTTTTCACATTCTTCCTCCGTACTGCACCGCGAGTCCAAGAAAAGAGAGTGGCGTGTTTGATAACTGCTCTCGGGTGATAATAGGAGCCTGAACAAACAGGGGGAGCTGAATGAGAAGGATCATTCAACGGAAACGACGGAGAGAAACGTACTTGTAAACATCGAGATAGACTAACTAACAGTTGAAGTTTTCCTATCGGGAGGGAGGGGAAAAAAAAAAGAAAGACTCACTGCGGAGATCCAAGGCGATCCAGAAGGTCAAGATTGGTTGAACGGCACGAGCATCCGCGATTTGGCCGACTGCGATCCCGATCGAGGTATGAACCACCTCCAAGTCTCTAATTCCCCCCCCCCAGCACCCAACGGTCTTTTTCTTTCAACACCCCTCGTCGCTGCACCGCGATCCCGATCGAGGTCCATTTACATTTCATTTCACTTGGAGTCATGATCAGTCATCCATTCCATCTAGCATGGTTCTGTTTAACAACATGGAGGCACGATGATCTGTGGGGAGGGGAGGAGGGGAGGGGAGGGGAGGGGGGGCTGGATAGCGATGATACAGATCTGGCTGTGGTGCGGAGAAGGCAGGACTGTGATTTTGTTCATCATTTACTTATTAGGGCATTGCCAGCGTAAACACGAAACGGAAAAAGAAGGAGGGGCGTCGAGTACATTTTCCCACAGGAAGAGGCAAGACACAAGACGAATCCGTGATGCTATTTATAGTAACGGATGCATCTTGCCAGTTTCTGTGGGAAGATGCACTCGTTTTCTTTCGTTTCGTACGTGGTGTGGCGAGGGCGTTATGCTGCCGACATGACATGAGATTAAGTTCAGGACAGATTCACAGATTCAAATACCATGATGAATTCTTGTTGTGAGTGAATCTGGACGCATCTGGGGTCAAATACGTTGTGGGAAAGTCTCGAGTATCCCAAGTATAGCGACGCAGATGCGTGTGAGGGTCTAGTTGCATCACTCGCCGTCCGCTAAAATGTGAAATGCATCTGGGAATAATTGATGTCCAGATGCATTCAAATGTTGCCAAGTGGAGAGTTGGTATATAACTAGGGGCTGAGTTCGCGATCGCAGAAAGGATCAGGATCGAGGGCGATAGGAAAGGAGGGTGGTGAGCTGGAGGGAAGGAGGGAGTAGGAGAGGGAGGAGAGGGAGGAGAAGGGTGAAGAGTGGTGGGTGATGAGGACGGAGGGGACAGGTTGATGAGAGCAAATCGTAGTCCGGAGCGAATGTCGTCGTCGTCTGATTTTAGAGGACTAATTATTGTAATAACCTGCCTCTAGCGTTTTTTTTTTTTTTTTTTTTTTTTTTTGGGAGTTGTACAAGTGTAGGAGCGATTGGGAAAGTCGTCAATACGTGCGTGATGCTGAATGAGTCGGGAGAGAGAAAAGTGAGAAGTGGAAGGGTCACACGAAACGAAAACGAAACGAGTGCATCTGCCCACGAAAGGTGACAAAATACACTCGTTACTATTTATAGCAAACAGACGAACCTGGCCATTTTCTGCAGGAAGATGCGCTCGTTTCGTTTTTCGTTTCATACCCTGTGCGGCGACGCCCGAAGTCGTTCGTATTAGAGGCTCGCCACACAGGCTGTCGAATGTCGAAACTTTTGGACACGTGTAAGTAATTTTTCGACAGCCCGGCGCTGCACAATTTCGCCCCCTATCGCCACACATCCTGTCGAGAGGCGAAATTGTCCAAAGTAGGCAAGTCTACACCGCCTTGCGACAGGTGCTGAAGGCGGTGGACTGTCAGGAGTTATTACACATATGAATTTGTCCACACAACCCGACGAGATGCAGACGCAGATGGCGTTTTCCACAGCAACTGTCAACTACATACGGACAAACAGGCCACGGCTGTCAGGGAGCAGTCTCTGCCAACGCAAATTCGAAAGCACGGCGGTGGACTGTAGAATTTCCTTGAGCTGCAGGCGGGAGGAAACGGTTGCTGGAGGGCGGCTGTCGAAAGGCCCATTCTGACACCTGTCAAAAGTTTTTTGAGCCGCAATTCTTCGAAAGTCTGTGTGGCGATGCAAAATTGTCGAAAACCCTGTTTTCGACAGCCTGTGTGGCGAGGAGGGCTCCTTTCCCAGCCTGCAACTTGGAGATTTTCAACAGTCCTCGGATGGGATGTCGAATTCTTGCCCGAATGTCGAAAAAGAGAATGCACCAACGCTTGTCCTATCTTCACCCCAGTTTGTCTCTTTTGTGCATACGACTCGCGAGTTCTTCAATTAGCCATGCTGTGTGGTGAAGAGGGTTTTTCTGTCGAAAGAGGGAATGCCGAAAATTTCCTGACTTATGTTTCGACATTGGTGTGGCGAGGCCCTTAGCGTGCAATTTTTTTTTTTTTTTTTTTTTG